TATCAACTAAATGTCTGTCTATTATACACATCATATATATATATATATATATATATATGTATGAAAATATTTAAAAATATATTAATTATGTATTTTTTTAAATAATACAACTGTAAGTCACGTATTGGACATAAATAATAAAGAAAAATAATTTATAATATTTTTGTATTAAAATTTTAAATTAAAATTGATATAAATATTTTATGTAAGTTAGATTTATATTATATTTTTTTAATTTATGTTAATGAATCATAAAAAAAATCATCAATAATATCGATGACTTGATTTGATAATTGGTTTAAATTATTGTGACAATAATAATATAAATAAATATTTAAAAATATGTTATGTTAACTGGAAATAAAAATAACAAAATTAAACATTATATAAGAAAAAAAAGTTTTATAAATTAATTGTGTTTAAATATAACGTTTCGGGGCTTTTCAAATGAGTAGCCAAATCAATCCCTTTAAGCTATCTTTTAACTGTATAGTCTCATACCTATACAGTCTCTAGATCCCTCTCATTCTGGTGTATGTTCGATTCGTCCATGTACCCCTTCTACTGTATAGTCTCATATCTATACAGTCTCATACTTGTATTCGGGTGTCACATTAAAGATTTTAGTCCATAATTTCTGTAGATTTCGATATTATATTGAGTTAACTTTAATTTTTCTTTTAAATTTTGTGAATACAAATAAAAGTTAGAATCCATGATTTAATTCAACATGCCAACTCGAGTAGTGACCTTATCATTATTTGTGACTATGCATTATGGTGTAGCTGTTACTACTTTTCGCCATGGACAGGTAGACACGACAACTAGAATGGAACCACACACATTCTTCTTTTTAGGATTTCATCAAATGTTATAAAATTATTTATCAAAAAAGTACTTACCCATTGCAAATGAATTTATGCATGCATAAAATGGCTTAAACATATCACTGCTTGTAAGACGTTATATAAATCATTAATTTTGATAAAATAAATTAATGTTATCACTAATCTATTAATGATTTTGTGTAGATTAAGATCGTTTTAAATATATGTCTTTTAATTTTTCTTGTAGAATAAGAAGAAAACACCAAGTTAAACATAATTAGTCAAAAGTAGGTACCAAGTCTAATGAAGTAGACTTATTTATAACATGTTGATATTGTACAACATGTACAATTTTAGTTGCATAAAATAAGAGATATGGCACGTGGGTTCGTGAACCTTTGATAAGAATAATCATGCGAGTTATAGAAAACTTACTAAAAGTAATTTAGTTAGAAAACCTTCATAATCATGCTGTTAAAATTATACTAAAAACAAATATAAATATTTTATATTAGTATATGAAAAAAACAAATTTTTAGGTGACAGAAAATCAAAAGAGACGAGATGAAATTAACAGTAACTAAATATATACATTTAGAAATTAAATATTAAATTAATATAAATAGTTATGATAGGCATATATTTTGTTTGTTTAATAGAAACTAACACTGAAAAATTATAATGTGTGAAAACGGATCACTTGTTCCTAATCAACTCAACCCATTAAGGGTTAAAAAAATTTAAATCCGATAGACGTTAAACAGATTGATTCATTTAATTACAACATTTTTTATTAATAATTTTTTTTAATTTAAATCAAAATAAAGAAAACAAGTTTTAAAGTAGATCTATGATCAATCAGATATAATATTTTATTTATACGTCACAGAATATTCTTAACAAAAAATTTTAATAACTTCATACCAATTCAAATTTGTTTCTGAATAAAAATTGATTTAATAAATATAAATTTGTCGATTTTTCATATTTAATTATTCAATCAAAAAATAATTTCACGTGAGTCTTCATTTGAATATTTTATAAAATTACTAATCTACTAAAAAATACTTATTAAAAAAATTAGGTAAATTAGTGAGTCAATCCAACTCACTGCAAATTTAAAATTGACCGGTTGAAATTTTAATTTTTTTTAATCTATTCCAGTTTAAATTTGTAGTAGGCTAAGTGATTAAGGGATTTTTTACAACAGAAATAAACTTTAAAAAAAGAGGTAAATAATAAGAGAATTAGTGAAAAGGAAAAAGAAATTGTGATACATAATAAAAGAATGTATATAGAAACATGACTGACACAAATTTTCAAACGATTGACAACATATAAAAAAATGTTATACCTCCCAAAAAAAAACACAGTATAGAAAAAGTCATCTTAAAAAGATAAAACAAAAACAAAATTTATCTAAATATCAACATTTTATATTAAAATAAAATAAAATACAAGAACACTTATAATTAAAATGGTTATTGTATGCATGGATAGAGTTCTAATCATAAACATCTCTGTAGAGTTAACATTATTAAGAAAATCCACTGTTAATTTTTTTACTAAAATTTCCATTCAATTATTACTATAAAGGGTTTTAGATCTCTTATTTAATATTTATGAGATAATATAAGTATTTATTACATTACTTAGTTATAAATTCAAATATTCTATTAACATGGTTGATTCTGTAATGGTTTTTGCGTATTTTTTATTTATCACTTATTTAAAAAATTACCATGCATAGACATTATTATTTTTATATTAACATGATTTTAATGACTGCATTAATACAGAAAGTTTATAAATACACAAACCATTATTATTTATTTTTAAATAAATGTAATAACGTATTTTTATAACAAGCTTAATCAAGCAGTTCCCACCACATTGTAACCAAATAAATACAAAATAATAATAATAATAATAGTAATAATAATAATGGCAAGTTTTGGTATAACCTTTAATATAATTAGTTTAAAATTAATAAAATTATCATACATCATGTGTGATTGTATATCAATGTAGAATTGTTCACTTTTTTCTTTTTTTTTCGTGAAATATAAAATTATTTTTATACAGTGAAACAAAAATGACAATTTGCAGAATGTGGCAAGTGTACAAAGTTTTTTCTCTCAGAATCCTAAAATTGCATTATACACTTTCTGATAATGTTCATTATTTTGTTTGTAAAAAAAAATTGAACTTATATATTAGGTTTCTTGAAAAGGGAAAATTTTATAGGGGTTATAAATTATGATGTGGCGTATACGTTAGCTTGTATGCAGTTATGACGGAAATGCACCACGAACCTTCTTTTGCTTCAAAACATTGTATCTTGTTATTTTTAGATATTTTTATTTAAATTTAGTAAATCTCAACCTAAAAAATGAAATAAATAACAAATAATGTACTAAAATTATTTGTAAGTTTTAATTATAATACAGAATTAGAAAACCGTGTTCAAGCTTCATGACATAAAAAGAGTAACTACAATGAAATAGGTAGATCCGATGTAAATAATTAAAAAAAATATATTAATGAAATACTGAAATACATTACATTATACTAATTATAATAAATACTGAAATAATAAAATATAAATAATAAAAGTGTATATTATAGAGTCAAGGATCAAATTAACAAGTCTTTTGACCTCAGATGAAACGGTGGATTTATTGGTAGAACCAGAGAGTTGAATACTGCGTATTTATACGTATTTATTGTTAGAGCACGTGCGATGCGGATTCATTC